GCCAATCATCTAGTTAATGAGAAGGAAAAGATTAGCAAGGAGCTAAAATTGGTTCAGTTCACTCTTGAATCAAATAATTATCCTAACGCATTCATAAAAGGATCTTTAAAATGTGATGATGAGGATGGATCGAAACCTGTTGCTAAGAATTAGGTTAGTACAGCAGCGATTCCTTACCGCAAAGAAACATCTGATGCGATAAAGCGAATCCTTAACGATCATAAGAGTGTATTTTTGCGCAGCTAACACCTTACGTTCATCACTGGTGACGGTTAAGGATAAAATAGAAGAAGAAAACCAACAGAACTGTGTGTACCAAATCAACTGTGGGGACTGTGGCACCATTTATGAAAGGGAAACTCTCAGACAGGTAAATATCACAGTGAAAGAGCATAAACAGTGTCTAAAGGTGGTTCCAAAGACCTCTGCAGACTTAAAGAAACTAGAAAACAAATCAGCGATTGCACTGCATACAACAGAAACGGGACACAAAATTGACTTTGATAGGACTAAGGTTCTATAGAAAGGTTTTGTTTCGTATACAGAAAGACTGACTGTGGAAGCCCTACGTAAATGAGTGAATCCCAACAGTTTGAACAGACCTGGAGGTATGATGTTAGCTGATGCATCGTAAATCCTGATTAATAAATAAATAAAAAGAGGATTTGTTTCACTAATTAATCATACCTGGTCAAAATTCCCAATTTATATATGTCCAAACCAAGTTCACCAAGATTGAAAAAATTTGGGCATTGGGTATATGATATTCATTATAATAAAGGTTTTCTTGGAAATTTTGTAAATTCTGGTTTAATATTACTTTGATAGAGCTATTAGCATTAAATAGCGAAACGTTAGTAAAAACAATATCGTATCCGTATTATTTGACCGCCTAAATGAGGTCCACCCAAACATTAAATTCACCACGGAATACGAACACAACGATGAGTTCAATTTCCTAGACCTAAATGTAAAAAGAAGAGACGATGGAACGGTCGAAAAATCCATCTACAGAAAAGAAACTTGGACCGGACAATACCTTCACTACAACAGCTTCTGCCCTATGAGCTATAAGCGGGGATTATTAAGGACACTGTACGACAGGGCTAGGAGAAGGCAAATCATAAGTGAGACTATTTGTGAGAAAAATGGCTCCTTAATTAGCTCTCAGGATAGACGCCTCGAACGCTGGAAAGAACACTTCGAGGAACAATTCAACTTGCCTACAGCCACACTGAGCCTCCCCGCCATCCAACACGCACCCGAATGGGATATAGACACTGGCCCGCCGTCTGTAAATGAGGTCACCAAAGCTATCTGTAATTTGAAACGAGGCAAAGCGGCAGGACCCGACGGAATTATTCCGGAGGTGTTTAAATATGGGGGTGACATACTAGTATATAGTTTAACTAAGGTACTAGGTAACGTCTGGGAATCAGAGACGGTTCCATCAGACTGGGGTAAGTCACTTATTATACCAGTATTCAAGAAGGGAGACAAGTCCTCATGTGATAATCATAGAGGAATCAGCCTAACAAACATAGTCTCTAAAATCCTAGGCTCAATAATCATGCACAGACTAAGCCGAACTCGGGAGGAACAAACGAGGGAAAATCATGCGGGCTTTAGGCCAGGTAGAGGGTGCATAGATCATATCTTCACTCTCCGACAGATCCCAGAACATAGACACACTTTTAGGCGTCCAACAATTGCCATATTTCTTGACTTGAAGGCGGCCTTTGACTTCGTGGATCAAAAGGTACTATGGCAATGTTTGACTGAAGGGAGTGCCAAGAAAGTACATTGCACTAATCAATGCACTCTACTCAAACTCACGTAGCCATGTAAGGGCTTATGGGGAATTGTCATCTGAATTGATAACAACCAGTGGTGTCCGTCAAGGATGTCCACTTTCCCCTTTTCTGTTTAACTTCATCATAGATATGCTAATGGAAGTATCATTAACTGAACTTAACGACTTAGGAATCGACTTGTTACCAGGGAATAGTCTTATGGACTTAGAATATGCAGACGACATAGTCCTGTTAGGGGAGGACGCTGACAAAATGCAGTCTTCTGAACACCTTGAGCAGCAATCTTCGTATGTTTGGCATGCGATTCGCCCCTGTGAAATGTAAGATGCTGCTACAGGACTGGACTACGTCAACTCCTAGCCTAGTGATAGGGAGTGAAGTGATAGAACATGTTGACTACTTCACCTATTTGGGAAGTTGTATCAGCACCAACGAACTGATTGGTGACGAAATCTCAGCACGGATCCAAAAAGCTCGAGCTGCTTTCGCTAACTTACACCATCTCTGGCGTAGGCGTGACATCCGGCTGTCAACCAAGGGACGTGTGTACTGCTCAGCAGTTCGCTCCGTCCTTCTCTATGGCGGTGAGACGTGGCCACTGAGAGCGGAAGACATGAAGAGATTGTCTGTTTTTGACCACAGATGTTTACGATCTCTCTCTCTCTCTCGCGTTAGGTGGTATAATAAGGTAAGTAATGTTGACGTTAGGCGTAGAGTGTTGGGCAAAGAGGGAAAATCACTCGAAGAGGCTATGAAGTTACATAGATTGAGATGGTTAGGTCACGTGCTGCGCATGCCTAACCATCGTCTCCCCCGACGGGCATTACTAGCTGATATAGGTGCAGGTTGGAAAAGAGTAAGTGGTGGCCAAACAAAAACTTGGCATCAATCCATGAAATCCCGGACAGTTAAACTGAGTCAGGTAGGGAGATGCAGACTTCCGGGTTGGGGCCCTCGGGACTCTAAGAATCAATGGCTGGAGACACTAGGTGACATGGCTCAAAATCGTTGTCATCGGCGCAGATGTATTCAGTCTCTGTAATCTTTCATATTCCTTTCTACCATTACTCATTCTGTTTCACTCTTATACTTATCTAAATTCCATTGATTCTCTTCTCTCATTTTCTTGTCTACCTTTGTGTGCTATTTGGAACGTGGCAATTCGAACTGCTGCCTTTCGGCGCCAAGTTCTATGTTGAATCCAGCAGCAGCAGCAGGGCTAGGAAGTTATGTTCGCCCAACAAGTTAGAAGAAGAATTAGGCTTTGTTGAAAAATGCCTTAAGGAAAACGGGTATCCAAAAGGATTTATCCTGAAGTACAGCGAAGAAAGAGATGAGAAAGAGAATTATCCAACAGTTGAAAAGAAGAAAGTGTTCATTTGCCTCCCATACAAAGGAGAAACAGTATCGCAAAAGATTGAAAAAAGGATGAAAGGAGCAATAAAGAGATGCTTCCCTGCAGCCAATCTAGTAACACCATACAGTGCTACATGCTCTATAAGCCAATCGAAACTGGATAAGTACCCTGCTGATGTTACCTCCAACTGCATTTATAAATTTACGTGCACCTGCGGCAGCAAGTACATCGGAAGGACATAAAAAAGGGCTTCTATCCGGTTTTCAGAGCATATTCCGAGAAACTTATGCTTAAAAGGAAGCAAATATTTACAAAGTGCAATTACTAGACACCTTGTGGATACGGGCCATTTTGTTGAGATTTCCAAATCCTTCAAAATATTAAACATACAAAGGACAGCGAATCTATTACGATTTGCTGAAGCAATTGCAATCAAACGTCTCAGACAAAACTTATGCACACAGAAAGAGAGTGTAGTCAATCTCTCACTACCTTGGTAACCATATCACTTTCATTACACTGATTACTCATAGACACTAGTGAGGTCAACTCACTCAGCAAGTTTTCAAATTGATGAACTTTGACCTTGTTGAGTTGTCATGTTGACACTGTTTATTAGATTTTTCTGTTTTCCGTCTTCTCTCACCCCCCCTTTTCTTCCTCTTTTCGTAGTTTGATAGTATATAAATTGATGGTAACTTAAACTATAAAATTTTAATCCTTATATTCCGGATGCGTTTATCTTATAATGCTTTCTGTATTACCTTTCAAACAATGAAGTATGAAATGTTATTATTTATAACCATTGTAATTTCAGGTAGTTTGCAGTTGATGAGAACCTGTGAAATAGAATGATATCATTTTATACTGCAAATCTGGTCTTTCTTTCTCTATCAATATCGTTTTGTTTTTCATTCATTGGGAAATACAAGAAAACTTTTATCATAAAATTCCCAATTGTTTGTATCTTCTTACGGAGTAGCTAACAAATGTTTAATGACTGTTTACCCACACACACATACACACACCACTGTACAGTGCATATACACATATATTTTCATATTCCGTTATCTAATACCATGATCTTTTAGTTTAACGTGATCTGATAAAAAGTACACTGTTTAAATTGTTTAAAAAAATTGGACTAATTTTTGGAAGTCTGAGGTCAAATTTTGATCACAGTTCATACAAGTTTGTTTATTATACATGTTGATACCTGTTTCATGACTCATGTGATTGGACAAAGATTTTAAATACATAAAGCTCTGTTATGTTAATTTCGATTAATTTCCCTGAAGAAGTTCGGACTAGATTGCCAAACGAAACGTTAGAATTAATCATTTCACTTTCTCTGAGATTTTACAAATGTAATATTTGCAAATGTCTACTTCTCATTCGGCGCCCAATTTTTTTGCAACTATTCGGTCAAATCGTGATCACAGTTCATATGAATCAATTAAATGATGATTAATTTCACTGAGGGTGACTAGCAGTAGAATCAGGGACGCACAACTCCTGTCAACAGTAAGCCCTTATGAATATTTATTGTCAATCAATAAAAATGAAGAGATTCTTACGATCAGCTTTTTATCATTCAGAGAATAGCTAGCTAATCAACCAATACAAAGGTTCAATATATACTAAGCGTGTCCTAAAAGATGTAATTACCTAATATATATATACTTCACCTAACTAATTACCTATCCTCTTTTTGATTGAATACAGTCTATCAACTAGTACAATAGTGAATACAGATACAATAGCTATACTAATAGTAGTTATAGCGAATTACAGCGATGCCTTATTTTAGTAAAAATTGACTTGTCTGTATATCTATCTATAATCAAAAGTACAAAAATAATTAAGTGGACATATGCTGTAAACTTGTATCATTTATCTAGTAAATATCAAATCCATTGATTTTAGTTAATAAGCTACGTTTACAAATGAACGACTAATATTTTTCGAACCTTAACCAAAGTATCCACTTATTTCAATATTTACACCTAATTAAAAGAATTATTATTATTATCAAATGAAATTAATTCCATGGATGTTATTCACGTTGATTTGCGTACTTACAAGTGTTGTTGGATTTCCAGCTAATATTCCAGCAGACTTTTCCAGTAAGTAGAAATATATTTTTTTTTATTATAGCTTAAAACCATCCAGTATTTTTGGTACACGTATGGAATTTTCAGCATGTGATATCGGTAGCCCAAATTTCGCAGGCCGACCATTGATACCGGGTGTGCGTCGGCCGGGGTTTTCATTACCGTATCATAAAATCAGAATTGTTAAACTGTAAGCCTGGTTCAAACCATGTCATCCTATAAGACCAACATTTAATTTTAGAAATACCCCCTGCTTAGCATCAGTATTATGTCCCATCAGAAATCATTTATACTCTAAATTTAACATATCCATATGAAAAGAAACAGAATTTAAATGACATTCAAATAGGAAATAATGAAAACTGCTTAGTTTTGATATAATTGGTCCTCATACTAACCTACCAGTCAGTATATCTTAGGAAGCAGCTGGAAATGAACGCACTCTAATAGATATTAAGAATTTAATTCACCTCATCCATTGTCTGTAATGGAAGGCTTAGTTCAGCGTCTGACAGTATAAGTGAAAATCCTATGTGTTACAGAAAAAAGCCTAGATAATGAAACAAAACAGAAAGACGAACCAGTGGTTCAAAATAACTATTTCATAAAATTCATTAGGAACAGCAAGGAAGTTCACAGTAAAAGAACAATTAGTAGTGAAACTTTTATTCCTGACATAAATTATAATGAATTTAAGGCGTCTTAAGTTTTACCCCATAAGGAATGAACATCTGAAACAATACTTCGGATTCCTACTGAGGCAGGAATTAGGGTGATGTTTAAACCTACAAATCCACTCGGGGACAAGCCCAATGGGCTAAAGGACCTCAGTGACATAATTAGGTAAAAGATGTAATCTACAAAACATCTTTCAATGTCTTTAGGATAGACTTCATAAGTTACACCAGGAGATCGGGGTAGTCAGAACAGCGGAACACAAGAGTTTAGCTAAGTATAGAGTGACTGAACCCATAAAGATGAATAGTTTGGGGAAAAACTCAGTAATCACAATACATACAATTAACATAGAGTTAGACAATAAGATAAGAAAGAGCTACAACTACCAAGGGTAATCAAGATAGGCGGAGGGAGATGATGAAAGCTGAATCTTTGTTCATCGAATCTACACCTAACATTTGCAAAAAAATGAGACAGCCACTTTATGGAAAATATTGGTATCAATAAAATTAAAAGGTAAGAATTAATGGAATTACACAAACAAATTTCCGAAGTTGTGTGTCTTGGTTTAATTCTGAGCAATAAATTATGGTTGAAACGTCATCAGTAAATAAAAACTGTATCACTCACTGTATGTACAGATGGAATAAAATTATTCTATGATGGAATTATATTGTACCACAGTGCCCAACCTCTATTCTTATATCGGTAAGTCAAGTGGGGGGTTCGCTTCAATGACCTAAAGTTTTTGGAGTGAAAGCAATGTATAATGAAGACACCATACAATATATTATTATATAATTAACCTTGATGACCAATATACCAAAATGTTATCAACTATACTTATTTCCGTCTGATTACCGATTTATCAGCTGGATTGCCTACAAATTTGTGATTAAATCTGGAGTGATAAAATTCAATAGACGAAACCAGTAAATACTTTTAAGAAGGTAAAAAATGAATGAAATTCAAGGGGACTTCTTCATAAGACGAGATTAGCATGAGACTTTTAGGAGTTGCACACTCATAAGCCCACCAGGGCTGGAATTCAGAATCTTCAACTTACGGGACTAGCTTATTGACCATTCAGCCACCGGACTGAAATCCAATAGGCCGTTAATTCAAATTTCTGCCAAATCAGCGATGTTGTCGATTAACAACTAGTTTACTCTGACGTTCTTGACCATATCAGTGAAGAATTCTTATCTGAACTTTAGGACATTCTCACATTCACTGTTTCTCCAAATGAATTCAGCTCGTGATGACATCTATATTGGAATTAATCAAAATCCCTACAAAATGCAAATTCTGAAGAAAGTTAATCCCACAGGAGGAAACAGTTAAAGTTCTGAACCTTAACATTAACTATAGGACAGTCACTGATTTAATATGACCTTCTGAATCTCACTCGACAGCAGACAAATTTAATGCACTATTCAGCTTTTCGACAAGAAAGTATTTCTATGGTATAAATTATTATTAGAATATCATTTCCTTGTGTTCTAGGTTGTACATAAGGTTTCAATTGCAAATCTCTATTTCATTCTGTTTTATGTAGTCCTTGGTAGCTGGCTTAATATTTACCTATAAGTTTTCATTTCCGTCTCAGACGATCTCCTCCATGTCACCCGAGGGCAGCTAATGTGCCGCCTCCCATTCGCGTACGACTTGGGGAGCATATGAAGGCTCAGACTAACGTTTAATACAAGAAGTCCTCAGGGTCAATGGTCGCCATCAAAAACGTTTGCTCGTGATGGATATCGAATAGCCAGATAGGATAAGCAACAAGGAACTCTGGTAACCGCCCAGCTAGAGCTTTATTGCCCAACAAATATGCAGAAATAAATGGCGATGGATCAGGCCCGCGCTGAGGAGACCTGACTGACTGACCGACCGGTTTCAACATAAAACTTTACACCAGTGCGCAGCAGTTCAAGTCGCCACACTCCATATAACACACAAGACAAGAGAAGAAAGTAAAAAAGGAATGCAAAATAGAGATGGCAAACAGAGATATGAGGGAAAAAGAATAGTAATATCAAAGAAAAATATAGTTTTGTTGGATATTATAAGTCGAAAGGAGTGGATGCATCTGCGCCATTGAGAACGATTTTGAGCTATATCACCGATTGTCTCCAGCCATTGATTTCTACTGTCCCGAGGACCCCAACTAGGAAGTCCACACCTCCCTAAGTGGCTGGCTTAAACTAACTGTTATGGATTTCATTGACTGATGAGGCCATGTTTTCGTTTGACCACCAGTGGCTATTTTCCCACCTGATCTATCCTATGTCAGCTAGCGTTGCCCATTGTGGAAGGCGATCGATGGCTAGGCATGCTTGCGCAACACTTGTCCTTACCGTCTCAATCGATGTATCTTTACAGCCTCGTCTATTGATTTCCCTTGCTTACCTAGCACTCGATGCCTAACCTTGATAGTGCTCACTCTATTATACCACTTCACACGAAATATAGAACGTAGGCACCTTTGATCAAAGACAGCTAACCTTTCCATGTCTCACACTCTCAATGACCAGGTCTCAGAGCCATAAAGGAGGACGGAGCGGACTGCTGAGCAGTATACACGTCCTTTGGTCGGTAGTCAGATATCACGTCTGTGCCAGAGAATACGTGAAATGGCATATGCGAAAAGAACCTTCTATATCCTTGCTGAGATTTCATCAGCGATCAACCCGTTGGGGCTGATGCAACTTCCCAAATAAATGAAGTGGTAAACACGCTGGGGAGACCACTGAGTAACAGCACAATGTGTTTATTGTGGTTATTATTTATTCATGTTTTTATGCATAGTACTACGATCCCGTATATCTCGTTCATGGATTATTTGGTCCACACTAAATAGTGTGGTAGCTATTCCACAAAATATCATATTATCTAAATGGTCAAATTTAGAAGTCAATGAAACATCGGCAGAATAACTCCATTAAGGGTAAGATTTTATTTTGATAAATCACACACTCTTGTACAGTAATATTTACTGATGACGTTTTAAGCACAATTTATTGCCACTCATAATCATATCAAGGCCCTCACACAACTTTCTTGCTTCATTTATATACATGAGTAAAAAAACCTTTTTTATCAACTGGAAGAATAGTTCTTATTGCACAGCAGATTTCTTAAGCTTAATCTCTCACTAAGTTTTCATGTCATTTATACTTCACTCAGCATCAGGGACAAGATTCAAATTTTAGCACTAATGTCAGTTCAGTGCTTTGATATGATTGAGATAAGCATTTACAATGGCCAACTGTAGACCTACATTGATACCTTATGGTGAATCGTGGGACCTATTAAAATGGACTGGAGGGAACATAATGAGATGGAAGTTTGGTGTTGAAGCCCTAAATCCCTCTAGGATTCCAAAGGAATGACAAAAAAAAATGCTTGATACTCATTAAAATAGTGACAGGAGTAAAATCTCACTTTTGAAATTATGTATACCATTTGAAATGAAGGCTTACCATAAATTAACGACCACCTTCTCTCCTTCTGATCGAGAATGACAGTAGAAGGTCTAGCCTCTCAGATAGTATGACAATAAACGATTAGTTAACTAATATTTATTTACATGACAGCTTGGTATTACCCGTAATGATTTACAGTGAAATGATGACCTTGTCGGTGGCTGTATCTCTCACGTCAGTTGATAGATAGACGGACTAGTAATTCAGTGGCAGCCAGTTCGAATCCTAACTCGATCTCGATATTTATTTTAACTCCTAACATTAAATATTACATCAACGGCTTTTTACCAACCCCAGGCTTTCTTCGACAGTCTTACAATCTCCCCCTCTCTCTCTCTCCATATATATAATAACATGCCAGAAATAATTTCTATTATTTGTTAACTAGATGATATTCTTTCTTAAATTGATATTTTGTTTAGGAAATCTACTACTAAGACAACTTTTAAACTTTCAACTTCCAAAAGATTCTAGTTTTGAGTCAATTAGCAGTTTGTCTGCTACCTCATGGAATCCAACCTGGTCAGCTTTATTCTGGACGTCATGGTCAAAATGGGAGTTGTGTACACCGGATAAACAGTGTACAATTAATGGTGATGATAAATTAACTGATAAAGAAAATTTTATATATCGTACAAGAATATGTCAATTTCAGTCGATGAATGAACATTTACTCTACTCAAACAAATTAATCAAAGGTATAAGTCTACCAAATGACATGGTTCCATGCTCAAAAGAAGGTTTAGCTGAAAGAGATGTTAAAAAATGTCCTGATTTAAGGCAGTGTATTGATGAAGGTAATAATGTTCAGCTTTATGCTTAGTGCTATTTGTCTGTTTGACTGAATAATAATATTCTATGACAGAATTATAACTGATAATTACAGATCCCTTTCGAGTAATAAGATTTTCTTTGATGGAACACTAGTTAGTAACCAGTATTATGTGTCTAATCCTTTGTTTGGTGCAGACTGAATTCTATCAGGAGGGACATGAGTTCCTTCAAAATTGCAGATATGCCTGGCTGACGTGTGACAACAAGCACGAAACCTAGCTCCAAGTTTTCCTGCAACCATCTACAGTGACTAGTGTAAATTATGCATGAAATACGTTTCATACATAGAATAGTCAAACCACTGATAACAACTCTTCTCTCTTTTCTCATATTCTAGTAAAGTTTTAAAGATATTTGAAATCAAAATGAATCATTCCTATATGATGCCTTTCATTGTAGACTCAATGAAATTTAGACAATTCATTGTATAGTCAGGGTTCAATACAAAACAGATGAATTATGTCCACGAATTTGGATGTCCAGCGCAGTTTCAACTACTAAACTTTAAATGACTCAGTGAATAGAATAATACTGACGTTCGTTTGAGGAACAATGCTGATTACTATAGAATTGAATATTCTGATTATTATTACAATTATTATTCATTCCTTACTTTACGAATGGGGAATAAGGTCCCAGCAGCATATCCTCACTGGACTGCCATAACTTTTAAATGGTTGCACGACTACTTACAATCTTGTTTTTCTTGTTCACATAATCTCCCCCTTATCACAGGCGAAAGCCCATCCCATTGCTTCCCACTTGGGTTTCCCCCCGAGTGAATGGTGTTTGATGTCACTTAGCTGCGAAGTTTCACCAATCAATTTCCATTTCCTCCGGCAAATTTTTCGAGTAGGCGATAAGTTGTTGACCGGTTCACCAGCAGATTTACTTGTTGGTTATCTCTTCTGGTAGGCCATCTGATCTTTGGAATCAATAGAAAGCAGTTGTAGATGGAAGTCTGTTGCAGGCTACTGGAAATGCTCTCATAAAAAATATTTTTTGTAATTATGTAATCTGATTTATTAATATACTCTTTCTAGTTAAAGTTTGTTTCTATCCAGAACTTTTTAAACTCTTTTTTCAAGAATATTCCCCTAATTATCCAATAAGTAGTCATTCCTTTTAACTCTTGGTAATATAACCACTTACATTATTTCGGCCTTATTTACTGATAGTCCTTATCAATTACTCCTTGTTATCGTGAAAAAGTATGTACAAATCTTCTTTCAGACATTTAGAAAACAGAAAGATTGAGCGAAGAAATATTTACTTTTCAATTAGATCCTCATCTCTGACTCTACTCTAATATATATGGCATTTTTATTACAATACACAACAGTTTACCAATCAAGTGGCGATACGTTTGTTAACAATAATTAGGCAGGTTCATCATTGTACTTCCGAACATCATCCAACATGGTTAAGCAAGGGACAAACAAGATTTATTCGTCGCTCTATTGTAGCACACCTTGTAGATAGTGAACATAAGGTTGACGTTAATACTGCATTTAAAATTATTTATCACATTCCTACTAATTTTAATTTTGCTCTACGAGTTTGTCTTCTACATACAGCTGAAGCAATAGGAATCCACCTGAAGAAGCCAAACCTGTGTGTTCAGAAGAAATTTGTACAGCCACTTTCCTTACCTTGGTCATCGTTACATGAATGTATAAACCGGACTAGGTCGCCTCCCTTCCCCTGAACATTTAAAAATTATAATTGTCCAAATTATTTTATTTTTTCTGACCACTGCATCTTTAATTACGTGTTATCCTTATAAAATTAATTTATTCTAGTCATTTCTACCTTTTAAATGTGTATTGATTTTCTTCGTTTATTATCAACCCATTGACATTTTGACACTGACTAATTATTGTTAACAAACATATCGCCACTTGATTGGTAAACTGTTGTGTATTGTAATAAAAATGCCATATATATTAGAGTAGAGCCAGAGATGAGGATTTAATTGAAAAGTAAATATTTCTTCGCTCAGTCTTTTTGCTTTCTAAATCTTCTTTTGTAATGCATATTTTTTATTCTTCAGTCTATGGTCAGTTGAGTTGAAACCTCGAAATGGTAAAAAATGAGCTCATATTATCCTGTCACATTCGTCTTTCATTCTTTGTTCAAGTTTACTATTGAGAAGAAATATACGAGTTTCTCTAGGAAAATGTTTTGTCTGATGTGTGTTCCAAGCCTCTGAACGATACGGAAGCACTGGCTAACTTGACATTAGTGCTGAAAATTTGGATGTTCTTCCTTGTACTAACTGAGTTTGAAACATCTCCACACACCGACATCAGAACAGTCAACTCCCGCATTTCTCATGTGTTCCAATTAACTAGAACAAAATCTTCGTTTAATTTCAATGATTTCCTTTTATATGCAAACAGTAATTCATTTTGATTGTAATAATCTCTACTACCAACAAAGTTTTTTTCTTTATTCCAATGCAGATTCACTACAAAGTTTTTCTATAGAAGAACAAACCAAATCGTTTCTTGAAACACATTCATCCAAATGTGAAGGAGTTGAGTGTGATCCCACGGACAAGACAGAAGTTGTAATTGCTACAGAAAGTAAGTCAGAAAACTTGAATGTTTTGCTTGTAGAATGTTGGCCTTCAGTTACAGTAAAATATGTATACTGTTGCGGGATATTTCAATACTAACTGACTTCTACAGTGTAGAGTTAAAGCTGTCAAGTTTTGTTAGTGAGTAACTATCCTAATGTTTGCTAGTCACATCTTTAGGTTGGTATGGTAGTAAATTCATATTGAAATAATTCACCGATGAGTTGCGGACTGATATTGAATTCATTTTGTTGGAATTTAACTCATTTTTGATTGAACCCACTAGATTGTGGACCGAAGTACGTGTGCCATTTGAGGGGCGGATGCTTGAAGTATCTGTCGTCTCCATGAAATTTTCTATAAGCATGTGAGAAAAATGTGCTAATGAGATTCAAACATTGTGTACATTTTCTTGTATTTCATCTCAGCGTTTATTTCTAGGAGTGTCCACCATCTAAGAGGTTACTTCTGCTGCTGTCTGCAAGAACTAGCTAAGTAGATGTGTCTAGTTTCATTACAAGAGATTAAATTTGCTGAACGCCTAACTCTGAGTTGAAGTGTACTAGTTGTACTCATTGCATTCCTTTAGAAAATGAATCTTGAACCCAAGTAGCTCAGTGGTAACATATATAACGACGGCAGTTAGCCACACGGTTTGAATTTCTAAGGAGGAATCAGATGCGCTTAGGTGACGGGTGCCAGCAAGCATAGTAATCAAGTCTGTCAGAACACGTCGATTTTCTGTAGACACTTATATCGAAACAAAGTACTCTTCAATTTATCTTCTAATCAAACACTGTTATTTTCTTAATCACATGTCAATCGTAATACTTGTTACATTTATTTTATAATTAAGAGGAACACTGTAGGTTTTAGACGTATCATAAACAAGGTGCTATACTGTTGAGAAACTTTCTATGCAGCTAAAAAGCAATATATTTTGATGTGATTTACCATCATGAATCTCTTATTTATTATTCTTGTTCCCTTAGGTTCTGAAATGAAATTTAGGGATTAAACGGCACCTCACAATATTTTAATATTCTCTGTGGTCGTCACACGATTGACCATAGGCTCTCATCACCTCCCAACACAATCTCGTTCATATCAGCCTCGGACCCACGCCCAACCCACCCTATCCTGTTCGGGTTCCTCTTGGGCGTTGGTCCGGTGTGCCATGTCATTCGACGGTCTCCTCATTGAATGTCCTGTCCACCTCCATTTCCTATCCAAACGGTTCTGATGTCTTCTTAATGCCTTATTCAAATTTATCAAAGGGACTAATTGTTTCACGGTTCTTGATTAGTTTGTTTCAAGAGTTTCTTGTTGTTAATTCTTTCTGACTGGTCATTTGATTTTCACTTTGGAGCCAGTGAATGCAGCTTTTAAGAATAGTCGCCAATCTATTGGAAATACTTTCTGTGATGCTCGAAGTTTTTGACTCATATAGAAACACTGACTGCCTGACTTGACACTGGTGTTGAAAATCCGAATCTTCTTCTTTATGCTGCAGAATGCAGAAGATTTCCAAACTGATTTCAGAGTGATTAAGGTGTACCTTGCCTTTCCGATTCTGGTCTCCATCTTTTCTTCTCCATGCTGTCACCTGTAGTTGAGACGATGCTTCGGACATAAGTAAGGAAGTGACCTCGTTACAGTTTATCCTAATGATAGTTATTGTTGTTATTGTCGGTTAGTTATCTGCATCGTCTCCGTCTCCTCCATGTTCGTTTACCTGAAGTCTTGTCTTCCCTGCTTCGTCAGCCCAATTATTGGTTTTTGCCTGCAAATCTTTGAGCTCATGTGACATTAGACTTAAATCATCCACGCGCAAACTGCAGATCCTCTAGAGCCTTATAATCGGTGGTCTAGCGTATTCCTGTCTTCTCGCTCCCACACACAGATCAATGCATAGTCCCGTCCATCACAATTAGCAATATCATCGGTGACAGTATTGGGCAGCCAGCCTTGTCTTACTCCTCCTGTATTCAATTCAAACATCTCACTGAGTTTTCCGTTGTGGATCACCTGACACATGGCATTGTCGTATAATCAACTGTTGAACGATGCTGATATAAATTTCGGCACTGCATAACATAGTGTTGAATAGTTTCCAAATCACTTCTCCGTCAACACTGTCAAAAGCCATTTCCAAATGGATGAAATAGGTGTGGAGATAGATTTGACTTCTATTCTATGCTCTGTTCGATGGCGATGCGTAGAGTTGCGATTTCATCAGCACATGATTTGCCTTTCCTGAATCCAGTTTGTTCCGTGTGGTGGAGTTCTGCATCCAGTGCATCTTTTATTCTCTCCAGTGTGACATGACTTAGTATTTCACTTGGCGTGGACAAGAGAATGATTCAGCGTCAGCTCTTGCATATGCTGTGTGGTTGTTTCACAAGGTATCTTTCCATCCGACCAGATGATACCTTCCCTTCATTCCTTTCTTCCTTACTTGCAAACCTTTTGCAATAGTGATGTGGGCACATCCACTGCGGTCTCTGGATAGGTTTCCAGTGTTTCAGATGGAATACCGTCTGGTTCTACTGCCTTCCTGAATGCACCACAATAGCTTGATTGCATTCAAGACTACTGCTTTTGTCGGGGAATCGGTGTCCACTGGCAGCTTTGTGCATGCTGTTGGTGGTGGTGTATTTCTGGATGAGTTGCAGGCGATTGTTGATTTGGCAGTCGTTTGAAGTGACAGACCCATTGTTTTATTTGGCTCTTATCTTTGGTAATCAGGTTCCCTTGACCAACTTCTATTGCCTTCATTTGTGTTGATCTGTTCCCAGGTAGAGACCTGGTTATCTGATATAATCTTCTAAGGTCTCTTTTACCTGCAGCCAGCCTTCTCAACTTCAGTCGTCAGTGTGTCATAGAAATGTCGTTTGTCTTTCCTAGCACTCTTCTTTACTTCTTTATTCAGTGTGATCTACATAGAACTCAGCTTCCTCTTCTTCTCTTGTCTATCTGTTCCGTGTTTCATCTTCTGTTTCACCATCCTCCACTCCTCTCTTCTATTAACTTCCAGTTCGTGGCCTTGGAGAGCGATTATTTGTCTTGCCTCATTTTTTCTTCCCAGAACGGTTGCACACGTTTTACTGAACACCACTTTCAGAGTGTTCCAATGTTATTCCAAACAGGTTACCTCAGTGATGCCAAGTAGTGTCTCCAACTTTACTCTCATGTCTGCAGTAAAGGTGTATTCTGTAGTTTCGCCTTTCAGTTTCTCACTGTTGAACTTCAATTGTGGCCTGTCTCAAGTTGTTTCTAAAGCTTTCAGCTTCACATTGAAGGTTCCTTGAAGTAGATAGTAGTCTGGGCCCACATCTGCTCCCCTTCTCGACTTTGTTTCCAGCACACTGCGTTTCCACTGATTCGGTGTGTCCATCAGATGAAATCCATGTCGTCTTGTGTATATTCTTGTGCTTGTACATGCTGCCTCCAATCACTGAATCATTGAAGGCGCAGAAGTCTGTGAAGAGTTCTCCGTTATCATTCATTTCTCTGAGAGCCACTTGATCCGTGATGAGTTCTCTTCCTCTGTTGCCTGCTCCCAGTTTGCATGGCATTCATGTGGTCCATAAGGATTTTGATGTCTCCATTTGCGATGTTGTCCATTACTTTTTGCAGTTTTCTATAGAAATCTTCCTTCTTCTCTTGTTCAGAGTTGTATATAGACGCGTCGCAGTGCATCATAATTGTAATCTCTCCTTCCTTCCTTTTGATTTGAATCTTACTGTCATTACACTTTAGGAGGAAATTGGTTCCCAATGTACATGAGTTTGATTATTTTTGGTGAAATCACAATGGCCAGTCACTCAGTGTGCTTGTGGTTGTCCTCTGGGTGACAGAAGTAGATTGTTGACTATCCAGTTAAGAAGTTTGGATAGTCCACATCCACTTCAACTTCTCTCACAAAAACCTAGCACTTCTGCGTCGTATCTTCTCATTTCTTCAGCAACCTGAGCAGCCTTTCCAGCTTCGTACATTGTAAGGATATTCCGCGTCCCCAACCTTAATTTTGCTTTCATTGTAAGCAGACACATTGACTGACTGGTTTCCTGAAGGCTATCACGCTCCTCGTCACATTTTCTCTCCGGTCTCAACGAAGAGTAAGTTTGTTTTCATATTTTTGTTGACCGTCAAAGTACTATAGTGATTTGATTAACCTTCTGGAGTTATGTTTGGTAGCTCCGCGATCAAATCTCCCTCTTTTATGCGTTTGGGACCGGCTAGAAAAAACTCTATGTTTATCAGCTGGTGGTAAAACTAAATAGAATATCTTTAATTTATAATCGAACTATATTGCACCATAAATAAACATATGAATTCGATCTCAAATCAAATCATAAACCTATGGGGTTGTGGTGGTTTGGGATTCTTTAGTAGTACAGATTTATACGCTCACGCGGGATAATACTCAGCTTTTGAAGCTACTAGATTTGTTCTTGTTAGCTGAATGGTCAGCAAGCTCGCTTCATTGCCTAAAAATCCTATGTGCGATCCGCCGTGACTTCATGGATGCGTACCATGGAAGAGTACCAAAATAGGATGACACATTTTTCTAGTACTGTATGATTTTCAATGATTCTCTAACTGATGTAAGTTCGCAACCTCACCTAAAATCAGTCGGAATCCTGCCAAACAGCACTTGGAAATGATTCAAATGAACTGTCGTCAAGATTTGACATTCAATCTCGCTGAGACTTTACAAATATAATTTTTTTCAAATGTCCATTTGGAAATGAATTTGAAACAAGCAGTTTTGCAAATATCTGTCTTAGTGTTACTGATATAATACTCAGATATAGCGTCAGACTGACAATCAGACAATTTCGCAATGTAACCAATATTTTGGCTGAAAACAAAGCTTAGTTCAGGTGTCTATTCTCAACAATGTTCTCTGTATTACAGTAGGAAATATAATGCAGTTAGAAGTTATCTTGATGCTTTTTATTTCCTATAGCAATTTTTAAAGTAATACACGTGTTACTACTACTACTTCTGATTATGATAAATTTTAGTTTTATTTCCAATTTCAGTGTAATTTATCCTTAGAAGACTGCCACATTCTTGTCTACTTTCAATGATCTTTCTTCCATGCTACACACCTGTCACTTGGATTTTTATCTTACACTTACTAAAAGCGGTTACCATGGTATTAAAAAAATGTCTAATTTTACTACAAGCAGTTTATATTCCCACATTTTCCGTTTTTTTAGAACCGTCAATTATCGGAAGGTATATTAAACACAATCAGTTTTGGGGACCATGGATAGCTTTACAACAATGTTCAGCAATTATTCCTACAATTGATGAACTTCCAGATGAATATCCTTGGGAATCAATGTTAAATTTTAGTAGAATACAGCCTGGAAAAAGATGTCAGCCAGGATTACAATTACAAATCAGAAAACTACTAAGTGGGACAGATATCACTAGTCATGTTAGTGTGGTTTCTGTCAGTTATACTAGTGATTTTTTTTCTTTTGTCTTAACTCTAACCCAGCAGACGAACGGTGTTTTAGAACCAGTAAAAAGTCCTCTCGACCTAAATTTATTACTTTTGTTCTGTGTAGTCTTCAGAATAAAAAGCAATGTTGTATATTTAGTGATGAATGACGGTGAAATGCAAATGTATATCAGTTACTATTTGCTGTGCATCAGTCGAAAGTACTTACACCCAAGTTATTGATGGTGTTTCCACTGAGAATCAATGGTAGGACTTGGCATCTCACATAATATATGCCAGTAACTGTATGTTATGTGTTTGTTAGTTAGAAATAATTTGGTAAATTCAGTTTAATGAGAAAAGAAAAATATTAAGAAATAAATAAATTTGATGGCCTTAAAACTGCTAGAAAAGTGAGTTCATTGTACGGTTTAATATTATCTTTCTTAGTTATCGTTTTGTACAGAGGTACACTGATTCTCAGAGCCTTCTAAAAACGAAATTATTTGTTCATACTTATGATTCTCTGTTAACATGTATTAACTTGACCACTAAGTCTCATTTAGGTGAACCAGCTCCTTACCTCAATATTAGCATGGATAATGACTTGTTTGGTAATGGCTGGCCCTGGAATCGTGGATGCTCACTGAGTCCTATTTGGTACTCGTTAGTTGAATGCACCTGTTTCCTGATTGTTGACAGTGCTCAGTATCCACTGACTCTTATTGACTATTCTGATTTATGTAAATGAATTTAAATAATTCTCCTTGCCCAAAACGTGGTACTAGTATTCGGTGGCACAGTGGTTAGGGCTCTCGCCGACCATGCACATGGTCCGGGGTTCGATCCCCTGCCGGCGCACACCCGATATCTATAGTCGGCCTGTAAATTTGGGCTACCGATATCCATGCTGAAAATTCCATACTTGTACTGAAAAATACGGTGTGGAATCAAGCTGTAATCAAAGTTTAAAAAATAAAATAAAATAAAAATAATAACCTGGTGGATGAAGCTTTGGTATTTGAGACAATGGATGTTGGGTTTGAATCTTAATAGGAACCCTTTCAGTCAATGCGTATGCAGGTACATCCAAGTAACGAGTCCTTAATGGGAGGATAAGGGCGTTCTGGGTTCTGTTGCTAACCATAGCCAAAGGCAAGTAAATTCGATAAATTGTGTCAAATGTGATATTTCACATCTAATTGCATACAGTTCAATAATAAAAATAAAATGAGTAGCTTCAAAAGCACAAAATATTTTTAGGCAGATTTAAAACGAGAGTTCGATTGAGAAATAAAATTAATTCTGTGGAAGACATTTTGAAATAATGATTAACTTCATGCGAGTAAATTCCAAATATGATAATTAAAAATCATGCGTAAATGTCTAGATAATTGACACTTAGTGATAGGTATAAGACTTGGTGCATCACTGAAAGCATTTCCAATCGAATACTGCCAACTTTCATCAACAGCTCTCATAGCTCGATACTGACTATTAGATAGACGGCAGGCAAGAAAAGACAAGCAACAAGTAAATCTGGCAACGAACCAACCAACAACCAATCACCAACGTATATGCAGGGTGAAATGGAGATGGATCTGACATACGGTGACAAGACGGATGAGTGACACCAAGTGTTAGGTGCTAGGGTGGAACAGGAGTGGGAACTCTAGAGTTACGTAAGTGTCCAAAAGTGACATGAAGGAGATCGTGTGGAGATAAGATTAAAACTTATAGACGGTTTTGGAGCCAGTCAAAAACATGATATGAACAAAGTGATATAGTTGTGTGCTGCTGAATCCCTGTGTTCCACTAGAAATTCAAGGAAATAATAATAAAATAATAATTACTTATGAACATGAAGACCCCATCATAATATCGTTTGTCCTTCCGTCGTTTTCAGTGAAATTAAGATGAATACTTTAGTTTAAAATTTCTTAGAACTTTTCGTAGAACTGTACTATGTAAAACTGTTACAAAACTGTGAGACATTATTTCTCCATTTATGCAAAGCAGATCCGATGGTATGCACTGTACACTGTACATAGTACAACCCCCATATATAACCTAGTACGGCTGAGTGTGGCTAGACTTCGGTCTTCCTCTTGAAATGCTCTCATGTGGCTATGCTTTCATAGCTTCCACCCGATAAGCCCTATTCACCTCCTTCCAGTAGTGGAGATGCTCTCATAAAGATGAAAAGACGAATGTGAATTTTTGTTCGCTTATCACCAGATCGGTAGACATACAAGTATACTCAGGGTGAGTTAGAAAAATCCAATTCCAAACCAGTGGTGCATTTAGGCTGCAGGATGTAAAAGGCGCCAATGGCGTATGAACTAGTTTTAGTCAACAGCATCCATGGGAATGGGGTTTCTGACGCTTTCCTGCCATTATGTTTGTGTTTAAATGGTAGTGACAATAATTTGTATATTTTGGAATGCATTTTCGTATCAAAGATTTGAGAAACCACTCTGTTCTTCATCATAATTTATTAGATAAGAGGTAACTTAAAATACTTGTTATGTGGATCTAGACAGTTGCTTTATTATGGAACGTGACTGCCCACATATCTGCTGTCACAAAACTTGATTTTGTACTGAAATAGTGTTTTGTTACCAACGGGTTTTGAAGAGTATGACAAGCTGGAATATACTACTGTAGATGCCACCTGACAGACCTATATGCTTTTTTCTTTCCTTTACGAAGCACTCTAACAAAAGGATTACTACGAAGTCAGCTGAATTCCATAAAGATGACAGTACTTTCTAAATTTATGGAAATTATCAGTATACAGCAGTTTAAACAACTTTTGTTCTTCTAACATTAAACAAAACAAAACTTATATATTTGAAATGTTTGTTTTACTCAGCCTGAAATCAGTCAAATGGAAGAAAATTTATCCCCAGCAGTCGTCAAAATCACACCAACTACTGAAATGCGTAAAATTCACTGTTGGATTAATGAAGCCTGTCCAACATCAGAAGTGAAAGTTGAACCACCAGTCACATGTGTTTTTCAAGCTATTTATCGCAGTCCATCTGTACAAGTTAAGTGGCGTCGTACACCATATGGTCGTATACCATCACATTTTGAAGTACATATATTAGACTTGATAAATTCTGTTCATTATCAAAAATCTGAACTCCATGTTGAACAAATTAAGTTGAATAAATTAGATCCATGGGGAGAAAATTATATGACTGAAATACTTGGATTGAAAATTGGTCAACCATATCAGATTAGTATAGGATCTGCTGATGAAGCAGGTAATATATACTTTTCAAAAAATTGTGAAGCAGTTGTTATCATTGGAACTGGTAAGTTGTATATTCCATGGAATTTATTTAAGTGATAATTCGGGTATTGGTAGGATTGAAACCAGAATTTTCCGAATTACTAGTCGTGCGCTCTACCATCTGAGGTCAGCACCGAACCTGTAATTTGGTGGCTGCTGGTTAAAATCTAACTGTGACCCAGATTTTCATTTCGCTTTCTGTCATCCATGACCCCAAAACGTAGTCTACTAACCCAAGACTACCTCAGATAGTTTTGCCATTAAATAATTATTTTTTACTTTACAATATCATTGGAAAAACAGAAAAGTATGTGAACATTTTTGACTATTTACTTGTCACTTACATCAGCTCAGAGAGCCTAGTCAGTTCAAATTAACCGAATTCTGGAGAACTACTTGGCTAGACTGGCTTTAAATAGAATTAAATTCACAGTTTGCAAATTACACAACTTAAGGTGAAATTTATGAGTTCTGTTCAGATGTTTGTATCTGCCAGTAGTATATATATAATCATGAGCTTATGTTTGTTTTCTTGGTTGCCATTTATTATATCAAGCAGATCACATACTGGCATATGAATAATTTCGGTTTCGAAAAGATACGCTACGGTGAAGTTACACCTCCAACTGTGATTTTTCAAACTGTGTATTTGATGTGATTTTAAACAGTCAGTTTTTTCAGCTGTCTGTATAAAAGAGTATGTCAAAAATTCTAATGTGAAGTTCAGTTTGAAAAACTACACTACAATTTATTGGATTCTATCTAGTTACTGTCATCCTATATCATAAAAAAGAATAAAATATAGGCATTTATGGACAGCAGCCCATAGGAAATCACTTAGCCCAAATCAAAACCTTCAGTACACCAATAAAACACAATAATAATAATAGCTGATAATCGAAATTCTTGGGATGTACGGAAGCTTACTTCAGTACAACACCGATCACGAGAAATGCACCGCATTTAATTTCCTGCATTGAAATGATGTTCACAGTGACGGCAGTGTTGTAAAGGCAATCGAGAGCCAGGGTGAAAGTTCAATTGCTTATTATTTTCAACTTTTCGCTATTTCAATGAGTGACCAACTCTATTTTCAAGTTCGTTAAGTCCATCAATCACGTCTCCTTATCGCCATCCCCTGTATACGAATAACAGTGTGGCATTTGACTCGTTTGAACTGCATCGGCGCTTCTTACTCAGTATTTTTTCTCAGACCCATGTTTACAAAAGTATTTCCCTTAGTTTACAGTCTATTTTCCCCTATATATTCAGTTACACCATACATAATCTATTGCTTAAACATATTTAAACGATTCTACCTTAAAGGTGATGGTTCGTGGTCTAAATGGTCAAACTGGAGCAATTGCAATTCGAAATGCTCGTCAAAGTTAGGCACACGTAGTAGACACAGAAAATGTAATTCACCTGCACCACGAAGTGGCGGCCGTATGTGTCCTGGTTCAGATCAGATGCATTTTGAATGTTTTGGAACTGATATTAATTGCTGAGACAACTGCATGAAGTACATGTCGCCTTTAACTTTAGCTCAATTATTATTTCTGCTTTGGAAAAAAAACAGTTGTGTGCTTTAATAAAGTATTAAAATGGCCCACTAGACAATGCAAATGTTTTAACAATATCATTTTCAGCTGTTCAAGATCTCAAGGTTAAAATGCTGATTATCTACTCATCCTTATCTGAACTCTAAAACACTTTTAAGGTCATCTTTCAATACTAAAAATGTTTAGGGAACAAATTTTATCGAAGCACTGCATATAAAGCACATTTTTCAGTGTAAAATTTTCCTAAAAAATTAAATTATTTACTAAATGTTTACTCATTTATGTACCTTCAACATTCACTCCATTCATGTATGCTTAAATAAAACACCTTTTTACGTTTTTCAGAAGCTTCATCACCTGGACACTGTATGTTGTTTTTCAGATATACTGATACATGTGCATCTGAAATCTAGTTCATTGGTAATCTTATATACCTGAGTTCTGCAGCAGTAGGCTGGATAAAGTCAAATAACATTTTGTATACTTTCCTCTTAAATGATTTTAAATAAAGTGAGCACCTTGTTGTAAGAAATTTAGAATTATTATAATGAAGTTAGTTGATGACAAAATCAGAAAGGTTCATGGTTTTCATACTGATTTTAACAACAAATGAGTGTAGTAGTGCTGTTAAATATTTTGATAAGTCACAGCCGCAGTAGGAAACAAAAAAAAATACTGTGTATCTCTGAATATTATTATCCCTTACTATTACTACCACTACTGCAGCCTGTACAACTGACAAAAGTTCACAAATGGTAAACTGATGACCTCTACGGCAAAAATCTTTATAAGCGGAGTGATGGATTAACCGGCAAAGAGGGGAAGTGAAGATCACTTTGAGTAAATATAGAGAGAATAAATGGAAAAGAAAAGAAAAGAAATATGGCTAACTTGCGTACTGTTACTGTACATCATTCTGCTATGTATAAAATTTTCCTGCCAAATATCACTATGTCCAGCCATTGCACCACCACTGCTGCGGAAGGGAACGAGACTGGAGAAACCAGATTTAGTGATTTTCAAATACTACGAGCAACTCTATATTAGGGATGCTATGTCCCTCATTATCCATTGCGGTCCCCAATGTCCATCGGTATCCATGCCACAATGAAGATGCTAGCATCTAAAAATTTGCTTTCCTGGCAGTCATCCCTAGGATTAAATGATTACTTCTCCACATGTCAGCTTTCGCTACGTAGCGTTGAATCTTCTCTAAATCCTCTACTAGGACAGAATACAACTTGAAAACTTTGGTCTTTTTTGAAACGTCTGAGTTCTTCATGAGCTCTTAACTGTTTCGACGTTACAATCCAACTCTTTCTACAACAATAGCATCTGACGCCTCAACTTATGGAGTGTAGGTAGCCATTTTGCATGTTTTTCCAAACAGTTAACAAAATGTAGCCATTTATTCCACAGAATTTTGACGAATAAGAAAATCTTAGGCTTTTTTCGCCTCAAGTTCCCATAAATCGATTTAAGACCACTGATTTGCCTCATTTACGCAACATAAACCACCACTCTCAGTTTAATGCCGGAATCATGATATTCCTCCATATGAAGATACTTAGCTGAAGCATAACTTAAATACTCAACATATTGGCACTTCATATTTTGGACCAGCCGATTCTGTGTCCCAAATAATTAGTAATCATCTCACTTCAAGTGAAAGTAACACTATTTAGCAGTCCCACTTAGATACCACTTTTTGATCTTCACCGTTAACTCTCATTGAAATTCAAAGTGCAAGAAAAGTGATAGTCCCTTGCAATATGTCTTCCACTACATCTTGAACTACTAGAGAAACATTCAGGGTAGAGCAGAATTACGACATTTGTTTACTCGTAATGACTCCAACTGCGCTACATAAAATTGTTTGTTGTTCGGCAATAGCCTAGTAATACTGAAATCCCTTCAAGGTAGGGTTCTGATGCGCTTTCACATAGACCATCCTTGCATTCAGCACATGAAATATATTACTGGATGTATAGTTTATTGTATCACTACATATTCTTATTGCCAGATTTTGAACTAATTATTACAAAACTGTCATTCATGTCTTGTATGACATTGTTCTAGAATAACTTATGAAACCTTCGGGTCTGTTATGGTTTTCAAACCATATTCTTCCTTAATGAATACCCATAATTTCGCCAGTAACCATGGTACCATAAAAGATTTTTCTGAGTGAAATAATAGATAGTTTCTAAAATTACAGCAGTTGTGTGATTACATACTCAACAAGACTCCCAAGATTTACGAGCTGCTCTTGTTAGATCGTGTAAATACGCTGGTGCCTTTCCCTCACATTGAATATCTGCTTTTACGGATAAATTATACAATGAACCTCAGTCGTCATCTTGAGGGGTATTTATTTTGGATGCAAAAACATTTCACATTTGAGAGCAGAGTATCACAAGCATTTACTCACTTTTCCATCAGTTAAATAGTTTCAATTATGTAGTCATCTTACAGTTTCTATTACTGTATTGTTTAAATGCTTACTTTCGTTTGTTAATATTTATTATATGAATTATAACTAATTCTGTCAAATACAAATCCCTCTCCGTGTTGTTGTTTGGTTTCCTGTGATTCGGTCACTGCAAAATACTAATATCACAAATAACTAATATAAAATAACAATGCAAATGTTTTGAGCATAAGCTGGCGTATGTTGAAAAATGAAAAGCCCATTAAGATATATATAAATGGGAATACTAAAAAGATGGATCACTTTGCACTATGACCTTCGTAGCCTCCGTATATTAACTCTAACTGAATGTTTATAAAACTAATTCATGTACGCAAATTATACGTTTACAGAAACCAATGTTATATATGCCTGTGGAGCATTTCCCGTTGTATTATTGAACATTGCTTTTAGTTGGTTATGTGTGTATTTTACTCAGTTATGTACGTTTTCGTTTGTTTCGCAATTTTTCAAATTTGATTTCGTTAACAATACATCTTTTCAAGTTTTCGCCTTTCCTTCTCAATACAGTGTTGTTGGCCTTTGACAGTGCACAGCGTTAATACATCACAGAACATGAAAATGTATATATACTATAGTATTATAAACGGATTCATTTTTAGTATACCATACCCCTAGTATTCAAATTCACGCACTACTAAATGATAAATCGCGGTGTAAGGTGGAAAGAAAGACAAAAAATTTAACAAGGACCTACGATGAAATTAATTCCTAAAGTAGGTGTATATCTGTATTCTCTGTATTAAAAATTCAGATGACATAGCTGAAGTTATTTGGTACTTTTCATACTACGGGGCTTATATGGATAAGAGGAAATTGAGCAACTTTTGCTTGCGAGAATGGGAATTACACTACTATGTCACGGGTAAGGGTTTTGGCGGAGAGCAAGCATGCGAGAGTTATGCAGCACCCAGAAATACTTTCTTGATATATAATCAGGCTTTCCCGATATCTATAATATAACCAAAGCAGTGATATCAAGTAATGTACTTCCACCTAAAGGAAGTTCATAGTTAAGCACACTGAGGTACATCATGCAAGTTTTCTGAATTTGTTTCTCTATTTTTAGGAACTTCAGACTTAGAAGTTGTACCGATGAGAATATGCTGTCCTTAAATGAGGTGTCCCTAAAAATAGCCTACTGATCAGCTGTTACTTAAATAAAAGGCCTTAAGGAGTAGTCTTTCACGGTATACATATAGCCACCTTTAGCATGTGCACACATGTGTTTTTTCATGATGCCCATACTTTCAAGGAGAGTTGTTAAAATATACTTCTAATAAATAGTGTATTACGCTACATTTGTAACATTCTGAAAATATACCGCAGAAAAACAAACCAGTAAGAAAGTGATTTAACATTACAATGTGCTTTCCAAGCTAATATTAAGTACTTACATCGAAAAAGGTAGGCTACAGCATGCATATATGTCAAGAAGCAGATAAGAATTCATTGTTGTTGCAGAATAATTGTTCTGATAATCGTCCAGTAACAATCTACTGATATTTGTAAGTGTTTCAAGTAATTATGTAATTACTACCCTTTTTCCAAATCTGTGTATCATCGTTTTAACATTTGAATATCTTCTTTTGAATTAGTCCTTATTCTTTGTTGCTGCTTTTCCCTTATTTATATCCTTAATGTTTCAATTAGCTATTATGTCTTGGAAGAATGATATCTTATCTGAGTGAATTCACGGTTACATCGTGAAATGACTGCTTTAACTTTGGATCGTCTGAGGGGAACGTGTTTAGTTTGCTTCTTGCAGACAGAGCTCTGACCTCAACTTGTTGGGAATATTTTCTTTGATTCTTGGGTATTTTACAGCTATCTTCGGTAAATTGATTTTGTCGTCCAATACGTACTTTGTACTTGGAAAACTTTTGAACTGTACAGCTGCCGGATGACAATATCGAGGAAGTTCTATATTTTTCATGTAAATTATAATAGCTGTTCAGTAGTACCACAGACACTTCCACATCAATTTTTGTCTGGTATTGTTGCAACATAAATATTGAATGGCGGAAAGGTAGGGGACTTAACAGCGAGCTCGGGAACTTAACAAATATTAGAATAGGAATCCAAGTTAATTAAATGATAGTGTAACAGTATTTATGAAAAGAAACACTCAAAAAGTTACATAAATTAATGGTTACTTGGTGATACTGTTGAATTCCGCTGCTAAAACTTATTAGTATAATCCACAGATGAGTTCACTGCTGGAGTCGTGTCTACTAGTAGAAGCAGTGCACCGATCGTAGAAAAGTCTTCGGATGGGGATGAGAGGTTCCTGAAAAATTCAAAGGATACAACACCGTTAGTAGTCAAGCAAGTAGACATTGTGGACCAGAAGGAAAACGAAATGTCGAACAGAACACCGTATTTTGGATTGTACTCTGAGGTTCCAATATTCAATATCGTTTTTACGAGCTAGTATGTTGCTGCTCTATTTTGACTGAACTAGAATGCACGTATATCTTAGTACTTCTTCGCGTTTATATTTGTGTCCTAACGTTGTGATTACTCGACATCCACAACGTA